ACCGCCCCCAGCCGCTCATCTCACTGGCGCGCTCCCTAAACCTCGCTGCAAGTCATTTGGATTCTAATCGGGATTTAAAAACTCTGGAAACCTGAGAGGGTGGCTCACCACGTCCCTGCTGATGAATGTCACCGCTGGCGATGTTCATTCAGCCAGCAGCCCTGCAGCGCACGTGGCTCTGCTTCTTGTTGAGGGGCAGCCTGCTCTTTGCATTCAGATGTGCATTTGCTCTGTGCTAACTGCTCTCCATCACAACATCAAGTCCATTAGTGGTGTCATACAGAAATGCTCATTTTATTTGGATATATTGAATCCTTTCTCTAAAATTTGTCTTTTGTCTTTAAATTTGCCTTCTAAATTATGGGGAGGGAGGGGAGAAGAAGGGAAGAGTAACTCGTCTTTTCCATTTAAATGTTTTCTAGCTCTCTTCCCCATGCTCTGTTCTCTTTTCCTCAAAGATTCCCTGAGCATAGTCTCATTACCTGCTTGGAAATATCCTCACAAAGATCTTCCCTGTGGGCGGCTTTGCTTGTTCTTGGGTTTTCCCTCGTGAAGCTCACATTAACTGGTGGTACTTCCCATACCTTTAATCTCACCCCACTGACTTCCCTCTTCCTGCTAAGCCGGCCCGTGGCCATAAACCGAGTGATACGAGAGGGTCCATCAGCACCACAAAGAGCCAGGAATGGTGCTGATGGAACAGAAATGGGATGACATCACTCTGATGGGTTTTACTGTGGCAGCAGCACAGGCACCGCAGTGGATCAGGCCACTGATAAATGAGGCATCTAATTCAGAGCAGAATGGATGGAGGCTGCAGCCACCCCTGTGGCAGCTGCTTCTGAGGGACACCAGGGCAGAGCAGGTCACAGGAGGATGGAGGGTGCTGCTCGCACAGGCTGCATGTCCTGGTTTTGGTCCCCTTGTCCCCTCTTATTTAGCCTCCTGGAATGGCCCTTTCAGGCCTCTTTCCTCTGGGCACTGCACATAAACACAGCAGTCTCTGCTCAGTCAGGCAGAGGGAATGATGTCGTTAGCTCTGAATTAATTTGCTCTGTGAGTGTAAATCAGCCTTCTACTGTTATTTCAGTGCATTATTTTAAACGGAGATGCTACATAAAGGCAAATTAAATGTGTGGATGTGGTGCTGAAAAGCCCTCTTGAAAAAGATCTGCTTGCAATACCCAGAAGTCATATTCTTGTTATGTGCTTCTAATAGACTGTGGATGCTTTTGGCCTTCAAAACGGTATGCAATCACCCTGCTTTCTGTCCCAGCCTTGCCCCTAAAAGCTGTAGGCTGTATGTCAAGTGAAAATGGATACCCAGAATGTCAGGGAAGCTGCTTTTGGCCCATTCTCTGTTGGTCATGGGTTAAACACAGCGCACAGGCAGCTGCCCTGTGCTTGCTCCAGAGAGAAAGGGGCTTTTCAGACCTGCGGCCTTGCCTGCAAGCAGGACACGGTGGCGGGTGCCGGGCAGACAGCAGCTCCGAGCCACGGCCTGCGCTGCGGGCGGCTGTCGAGGCGTGTCTCCCATTGCGGGCCCAGGGGCCTCACAGAGCCAGGTCGCAGTTCCACACAAACCTCCGCTCCAAGGGCTTTGCTGGTGAGGTGGAGAGCTCAGAACCCTCGGGGAGCAGCGCTCAGAGCCAGGTCCCACTTCGGCAAGGAGGGGACGCAAGCCGAGCACAGCCAGGGCCCCTGGCCTGGGCAGTGCTGGCCTCCTGCCCCACATCAGCAGGACAGTGTGAGGGGGAAGCACAGTCTGGCTGGATGCCTAGATGAGGTGTGGGGGGCTCCCTCTTTCCTGATTGTAAATGGAATTATCCATTTGCTTTTGTGTTCTTGTGACATAGACCTCAGCCTGGGCTTGGACTCGCTATAACCGAATGCTAAAATCGAGTCATGGTGCCTGTACAGAGGGTGGCAGTACTAAACACTGGTTACTCTCCCTCCGTGTGTCCTTGTGCATGGGATTTGTTGTCATATTTTGCAAAATTTATCAGGACAGCCATGTAAAACAAGGAGGAATCTGCTTAAGCTAATTGGATGTAGTTGGCGGCTTGGTGTTATTTTTGACAGAAGGTCATTCTCTGCCACTCTCTTGATTGCCAAGGACAGGTTAGATTAGTGGTTTTGGAGAGATGCGGAAAGGACAGCTGTAGGTTCAGCATTAAATGGAAATGAGCGTTTGCTGGGGAGGGGGATCGGGACATTTAGGCCGGCTTGGCTGGCTCTGCAGCTTAATTGTAGCCTTTCCAAATACCACCGTACAGCTGGGGAAGTGGCAAGGCAGCAGATTGACTTTCAGCAATCTCTGCTATCTTGTCTTAAAAGATCTCATGTGTAGCGCTTGCTTCTTTTCTACTTGACCTAGTTTGTGCTGTGCATGTTGAGTCATTACCTACATTAAAAGCCTTCATTCTGCTGCTTCCTTGATGGTTTTCTAGTGCATTGGGTCACCAGCTCAGCCTCCTGTTTTATTTCTCTGTAATCATGGCTCTCCTGTTAGCTGCTTCTGAGCAACTTCTTAGGTTTCTTTAGCTTTCCTTTTCCTTGAAACACTAGTGATCTTGGGGAAAACTGGGAATAAAGCTATGTTGGCCCATACTTCCTCAGGATTGAGAACTTCAACATGATTACAGATAGCATTTTTGGTGAAATATATCCGTGATGATACTCATTCCAGTTTTGTTTTGTTTTGTTTGTTTGTTTGCTTGCTTGTATTCTAAGCTGGGAAAACTAATCCAAGACGCAGCAGCAGTTCTTGTGATTGCAGAAAAATTGATGAGCTTGGTAAGATCAGAGAAGAAGAACAAGTCTCTAGTGAAAGCAAACACAGCTTTCAGGGCACTTAGCAGAAGTATAGAGCATTTTAAGTAATATAGGTAAATATGTCCCTGGAGTTTGTGCTTTTTCATCTAAGCACAGACCAAAATAACTGGCGGAATGCAGGGGGCACAAAAGCTGTGAGACTGTCACTGAGCATTTCCAAGCTGAAAATTACTTTAATAATGAAATAGCATAAAAAGATGCATAAGACAAAAGTACTGAAGTTCTGCATCATATAAAAAAAAGCAACATGATCAAAGGAGTTCAAAGAAGGTTTTATATTAAGCAACTGTCTAGTTCCGGCTCAAAGAACATTTATGTTCTTGGAAATAATTTCTGATTTGTTTTTGCTGTTGCATTGAAAGTTGTTCATTAATAACAAACAGTTGTTTTTCAGACTGTATATGAGCAAAAAAGTGATGTTTTAATGCTCCTTTAAAAGCATTTCTATGCAGACCATGGTAGCTCTGAATAAAATGATAATATTGGCGGCACACCAGCTATTTTTCACTTTTACATATAACTTTTTTTTTTGACTTTTACATATAGCCTTTCTTAGCTTCAGAACTACAATTTACACGATGTGTATTACTGGCATGTATTCGGTAGAGAACTTCTCCTTTATAATGACCTGATGTGTCATGACAAAGCTATGGAGATACTTGAGTTGTGCTCGAATGTCACTTGCTGTTGGCTACCTGGGCACTCACACACTTCCACTGAAAATTCTGCTTTCAGAAGCTTGTGTTCACCTCATGTCCTGACCTACCATTAATACTGCCTGTCACTGCAGGTCCTGCAGTATAGGGCCCTGAGGGGACTTCATTCTGCATCATTAGGGAGCTTTGTTTTTAGGTAATACCTAGCAAAGCCTCTGCACGCTTTCACTTGGTGTACAGGTAAGATTAGGTTCACTTGAGCACTTGTGCTCAAGAATAAAATGAGGGCTCAGGAGTGGACGTGGGCATCCCCAGGCTGTGGCCAACACTCTGCCCATCATGCTGTGCAATATCAAGCTTTTATTTCACCCATTCCACAGTTGATTATGAACATGATACCATGTCCAACTGTGCCCTTTTTTTTTTTTTTTTTGGACAAAAAGACTGTATGTTCACTCGGTTTTAGTGCTGCAGCCATGTTGAGGACGTTGCTTTCAGCCAACAAGCTCTGCTGCTGCTTCTGGCACCCTGCTCATATCCATCACGTTAGTGCCTTTCATTTCATGCACATCTATCTTCTGTGAAGTCCACCTCCTTGTCATGGAAACTGTTGTCTTAGCAGTTACTGATCTCAATAAATGTGTCAGTTAATGTTTTCTTTAGTCATTAGCATTTTTCACAGATTTTGCAAACTGGAAGTTTATGCTCAGTAGCATATAAAAGTATGGGAAGAATGAATGGTTGGTGACCATGCCACAGAAATGTATTGGCTACTACTATGAGGAGACCTTAGGAAAAGCTTCCTGCCTATGAAGTGCCATTTTCTCCCATGCAAGGAGTATAAATGCTGCTTTTAATTTCTCTCAGGCTTATGCTGTGACTTGGAGTGCTTGCTCTAGCTCTAGGCTGCTAGACCCTGGTGATCTGCAGCACGTTCGGTTCTGTGCTGGGCAGAACGGCCCTCCTGTGGCAATAATGGAGACTTCTGCTGCAAACACCCTTGCAGGCAACAAAATGGGCTCTTAAATGAAATAATATGTGAAATGTGTGGAAAAAGAGGCAGGCAATGTCTTTAACACAAGCTGAAGGCTTCCCTGGTCTCATGGCATTTTGGCATCTCATAATTCCCGGGATTTAAATTGGTGGCACGAGTTGTTCCATTGCTGCGTTTCCTGTCAACATGGCAGTGCTATGACAAAATCCTCCCCATGTTTTCCCTGCCCTGTGCCTTTTGCCAGAGTCTATTTTCCCATTCTTACCTGATCTTTTCTTTGCAGTTGTTATTTTTTCTTTTCAATCAAAATTCCCTTTCTAGAAAAAGATGCAATCATTTATGGTAACAAATAGCAAGCAAACAAAAAACTCTGAAGAATGTTGCCTCTGCAGTTTTCTCAGGTCGCTTCTATAGTTTCCTCCGTGTCCTGCATTGCAAGTCCCTCGCGCCACTGAGCTCTCGTGACGGAGAGGCTTTTGCAGTCTTTCCCAACTGGACTGTTGTTGCTGTTGCAGTGATCGCTGATGGGGCGCTGGATAAGACGGCTCTGGCAGACGACGCTGGGAGCGAGGAGGACCTGTATGAGGACTTCCGGAGCGGCAACCACCGCTACGGCCACCCTGGTGGCGGCGGGGAGCAGCTTGCCATCAATGAGGTACTGCTGGCCATTTTCCTCATGCTTTTTTGTTTAGAGCCATAAGAGAGGGCCAGGACCACACTGCTAAGGACAAAGTGCATGGGCCTTCAGCTGCGTACATGTTGTGTTTGTTCTCTGTCATCATTATTTATTATTGAGGACTCTTTTTTCTTAACAATTCATTTTATGTAAGTAAAATTCCATTATGTAACTTTTAATCAAGAAAGCAAATGATGTGTCCAAAACGGGTGAAATTAGTAGATATTGTCTTTCATCCATATCTGGACTTGCCTGGCTGACTTGAATCAAAAAGATGATTTTTGCCCTATTTCATAGATGCCTGAGTATTCAGGGCCAACAGAATTGCATCAACAGGCCATAGGCTGTTTACTTTGTCAGGTGGTTCCTAGGGATAATTAACCCATCACTTAGCTTCACTGAGCATTAGCAAAGTGCTTTCCCTACACAATCTCTTCCTGCAACAACAGTACCGTGAAATATTGCTGAGGTAGAGATTTTAAATGTAAATATCTTAAGCTTTTGAGTCAAAATATCTCAAATGGCTGTGAATCAGCCTTATTAGGAGCTTCACTGATGGACCAAAATCTGAGTTATAATTAGTCTTAAGCTTTTTCAGTAGTAGTCCTAGGAGGAATGTAAGTGAAGGTGCAATCATCTAGTCAGATTTTGTGAGTGGTCTTGTTCTTGCTTTATTGCTTTCCCACTTGCATTTTACTGGTACGGGTAAGGAAACTATGGTAACTGTGTTATTCCTAGCCTTCTTGAAAGAAAAAGCTTTTAGATAAACAAAGAAGGTTGAAATACATTTTCAAAGCAGTTGGCAGACCAAATGTTGCATTAAAAAAAATATTTCATTTTGGATCAAGAGAAAATAGCTATGGAATAATACTAATAAAAAAAAAACTTTCATAAAACCAGAATAATTTACTGGCAAAAATACGAGCACTATAAAAGAAGGCTGGGAAGGTTTTATAGAGCCCACCTAGGAAGATCAGCATGAAAATATGTAAGAGCCAAGAAAAATCAATCAAAAAGTAATAATAAGAGCTTGGGATGAGAAAAGAGGCAGGGAAGTAATTTTTGTGGGGCATCTGTTTGACATTCTTTCAAATACATTCTAGATGCTTGAGGAAAAGAGATTTTTGTGTTTGGACTGTATTTGGCATGGGTTTTTTTGTGGTTGTTCTGGATAACAGACCCCATCCTTGTATCATTTTCCTTCCACAGTATAATTAGGTAAAATGTAGCAAGAGAAAATCTATACTGCAAATGCCTTGTGGTTGAGTCCTTCCAATATGAAAATATTACTTATTGGGACAGATACATGCAAGCTAGAAGAAATGGTGGTGCATGTAGACTGAGGTTGAGAGCGTAGCTCTGAGTAATACTGTAGCAATTCAGTACGTGTGGAGCATTTAGACTCTTCTAGATAATCTTCTAGGTAAACAGTGTTGTCCCCATCACATGAAAACAAAGCATTACTTCTTTGGAAGTGACCTTTTCTAACAAATGGCAGGACTACCTATCTTTTTTCTTTATTAACTTGTGGCTCTATTAATAAGTTCAGCATGTGGAAATCTTGTTCCTGATATGCAGGACTCTCTTACTTCAGCAGGCAAGGGTTTCATCTGCTGCAGGTAACAAATTGCCTTCTGTTTAAAATGACAATACTGTACTGTAATATGCTACAAACGTTTGTGTTTAGCAGTGCTCTTTGACAGGATGCAGTCAAGCTAATTAGTCCAATATACATGTTTCTGATTTTACAGAATAATTCATACAGGAAAAATGTTCACGGAAGTGGTGCAAAAAAAACCCACATGTCCCATTTACTAAAGGTGGCAAACATTCTGACAGTCCTTTCTTGGCCAAGCCCTGTGTAGATGCTGTTGTTGAGTCACTAAAGCGTTATTCTTATGCTAAACTCTGCTCACCCAATGTTCACGCAAGCTACGTTCAATTTTCAGCAAATAAGACACGTGAATTGTAACGGATTCCATTAAAAAAGTGCTAAAATATATATAAAAAAAACATAGGTAGTGCAGATAAAATTGGAATATTTTAACTTTGTCAACCGTGAGTAACATCCACAGCATTTTCACATTATCTGTCTGCATTGTGATGAATGGAAGTCTCTTGAGCACTGTTTGAGGAAGAATTTTGAAATAAAAGGGTTTTTAAATATATCATTATTTGCATTTTGCATGATATTTTGCAGCCAAATGTTATCAATCCATTTTTAAGGCGTACAAAATAGGTGTACAAAATAGGTCATAACAAGCTTCCAGACAGAAAACATAATTAGAATATTGATCGTGTGGAAGCAGTATACAACATTCATGTGTAATCTGGGAGAGGTGATTTACTGCCCCTTTTATGTCTTAATGTGGGTATGTTGCTCTTGCAACTGATGCCAAAGCAAATAGAAACCAATTAACAAGCCCCTCCTCCCCCAAGGACTTAATTCCCCATTTTGCATATTTCTGCAACCAAAAATTGACAACTGTGGTCCAGAAACAGCAACTGCAATTTGTTTGTGAAAAACTGTGTAAAGCTTGCTGCTGGCAAGGACAAGAAATAGTGTTTACCCTCATGAATATAAATCTTTACAGGATCTGAGTTTTGGTCTCTAAGTATCTGCATTACTCTGTGTATGACTCGTGTGAATATTCACAGTGTGCCCTCAGAACTGTAACATCTTTGCGTGCCCCATGGGCTCAGTTTGTACCATTCTCAGCGCTGTAAATTCCTAATGCTGTTTCAGAAGGCTTTTTTTATTTCCTGCAACAGATTTAAAGCTCATCAGTATATTCAAATATTCCACAGCAGTTATGAAGCATACTAGTGACTTGGATCCTTGCCTCCATGTATCTCACCAGCCATCGGAGCGAGGAGGGAAGCGGTCCCAAGGACCATCAGAGCGTCTCTGCTTGCTGCCACAGGCAGTCCTGGCTGCTCAGGGCCGCTCTGGTGTTGCCCTCATCAGCACAGTCCTCTCCAGTCGCTGCTTCCTCCTTCTGGAGATGAGGAGACAGTGAGAGAAGTCCAGTGGAGCTCACTTGGTACTGACTCTGGGTTATCCTTATCTGAGGAAGGAGCAGTTTGCAGGTGGATTTGGGGCTTTTCTGGAAAGGCAGGAAACACTGGGTAGGTTGCAGCCTTAGCAGGCCTGTGTGTGTAGCTAAGGCAGGAACCTATGCAAAGACTGTCCTAATAGAAGTGTTTCTAATATATATGTGTGTGTATTGCCACTTTGTGTGTCTTCTGACACACATGGCTTGTTTGAAGAATGTAAAGCACTGCCCAGCTTTGATCTGTGGCTGTAAAACAGACCTGAAGTATCACTCAAAGGAAATACTGCAAACTGCATGATGGCTTTGGAGCTTCTACATCAGCCCTGTCTGCTGTTAAATTGTAAAAACTGTAACAGCTTTTGATAATGATAGTTGTGAGTGTTAGGAGACTTAATAACATCTGTTGTTTGCTAGCATTAAATGTGTTCCTACCTCCTAGGGTGTAAAGAGAGGCTTGACTCCACACACACACACACACACACACACAAATTCCCTTTGGACAAAAAAATACAACAGTATTTTAATTCCTGAAGTTCTTTCTGCCAAAGCACCCCAGTCTGCCTGTATGTTATCCAGTATATCCGCAGAGCTATGCAGCCCTGACTGTTCCTTGCCACCTCCTAAAGCGTAATGTGACTACTGCTGCTAACAGGAGTTTGGGGAAGGGGTAATTGTCTCTATGATGAGGGCTGCAAGCAGCTCCCTGCATCCCACAGAAGCGGGCTCCGTGGCCGCGCCGCAGCAGCTGGAGCTGCCGCATGAGCTGGTGGAGACGACTCCTTTCAGCATCCATGTAGAGGAGAGCTGCTCTCGGAGACTGAACGTGCCCCTGTCCTTGGGGAGCCTCACTAAAAAATAGTTTTAAAAAAATAATTTGGGATTTGTCTCTCCTAGTTTGTTAGTTCAAGAAACACCTGCAATGGATAAGAGCACAATAACAGAATGGATGTTGGAGCTCAGCAAGAGGGATAAAGGAGGAGTCTGACCAAGTAGGAATGCTAAATGTGGGGTAGTATACAGGTTATTCCAGGTTTAGGTGTTGCCGTGGAGAGAGAGGAGTGAATGTATCTGGTACAAAGTGGTTTTATACCATACTTTCTGCCTCGGGTTTCTTTCAGCATGGCTTTGATATCAGAAGGTTTCTTGGATTTGTTCTCCCCTCTCCAAATCCTGACTTGAAGGAATTCCTCTTTGCAAAGTTTTTCTCCTGATCTCCAGAACATTTTTGAACCGTGTGGTGGAAAAGTGGAAGTCCCAAGTCCCATGGCCCCTCAGAGAGCACTGTTAATCTCTTGAAAGATTCATGTATTCTTCACATTCCCCCTCAGCCCTGTCCCATGACTGAAGGCCCTGGCCCTGCGCTCATGGGGTAAATTGGGGACAGGCCTCCATCGCTGGGGGCGGGAAGCAGGGGCAGAAAATTCATCGCTGCTTTAATGCACTCAAGGCAGTAGCATGTTCCTTGCTTATTGTATTGTGTGGATGGAAGCTGCAAAACTGTGGGAGCTGTTGAGGGAAGAGTTATCGGTGACCAGTGAGCAACCATGTTCCTGAAGTGCCAACCCCACACTTTCTTGTGGCTATGGAGGCTCCTCCTCACTCCAGGCGCTCCGGGCTGGGTGCCCCAAGGGTGCCTTGGGTCTCGTGCAGGTCACTCGTGTGCCCGCTGATGGCAGCAGAAAGGGGAAATGTTACTTGCAGTAACCCTGGTGCGCCCACGCGTGTGGTGGGCCAGCACACACGGCTGCCCCGGTCCGAGCAGTGCGGGGCGGCCAGGCGGCCTCCACATAGCCCCGCGCAGGGAGCGGGAGCAGCCCCGCCCGGCCACCCTGCGCTGCTCCCGCTCTGCGCGCAGGACCCTGCACCCTATGCCCTGAGCAGCCTCCACACAGCCCCGCGCGCGGAGCGGGAGCAGCGCGGGGC